TCGTTTGCGTAATCAGGATAATTAGCAGCGTATTTAAAGGTATAGGCTATTTATTACATTTAATTTGGTATACAGAATAGAGAAGGCTGAGAATAAAAAATCCTGAATAGTAATTGTATACCAAATTTAGACGTCAAGAGGTAACAAACAAGTAAACAAACAAACTTACTTCCACATTTATAATATTAGTAAGGATATTTTTTTTCCTCCTAAGATGACGCAAAATTTATTTGTATTATGGACATACACTTTTTAAATAAATAAATAAACGTACCCTGATTGAACTATATCTATACTGATGATCTATATTCAGTCATATCGTTAATTTCCATGAAACGAAATTATATAGAAACTCATGCCGTGTGGTCCCGGTGTAGAATGGATCAACCCTTCTTTGCCCATGGATATTATAATAGGGTACTAAGAGAACTACCTTCGTAGTTCCCCTAATCTAACTAATGGTCGAGAAACGGGCAGTAGCGTCCCTCTAAAACATCACCAAACCCTAACTGGAATTGCCCAACCCACCTGCCAAGCATGGCAACTACTGACAAAACCTCTTTTTATGAGGAAGACAGTGTTCCGCAGTATAATAATGATGACAGATACTTGTATATCTTATTATCATTACATTATCTATATCCATAGTCCTCAAAAATTACAAAATATAGAATAATCATTCTTTGATGTCCTTAGAGGTATAATAACTGTAGTTAGTTATTAATTTCCAAGTTATTAAAAAGGTAATGTTAAAAACTCTAAAAATAGTACTGAAGTGATAATACAAAATTCCAATTACAAATAAAGAACAATGTAACATCTAACAGCTCAAGTCGTAAAGATATTTCATAAAAGATTTAGTTCCCCATTAACCCTTCTAGTTGCAGTATTAGTTACGTGAATAGCAAACAATTAACGGTAGCCGAGGTGACTCGAACAACATTACCCTTTGCAAAGTGAAGCTTATTCCTATTTACTATCTACCCTTTATACGAAAGTCATCCAGTAGAAAGGGGAGAAGACTCTTCGTAAGAAAAATATTGTACAATAAATCCTGACAATGTTCACCGTGTATATTCGTATATTTTACAAGACTAATCCATTAATTACTTTAGTCGCTTTTTACGAAAGTATTGTGCACCATATTGTAACAATATTAACTATGAAAAAAGAATTGTATGAGTTTTAAATGAATGATGATTTAAAAGAAGGGATGTAGCCAATGTGGCAGTGTAATTACTGGCTACAAACATAGGTATCTGTTATCTTTTTTGTTTTAGATTTTTTTTTTACACGACTTGGAATGCCAACTCGTATGAAACACTTTACATCAAACTATATGTTGCACGACAAGATTTTAGGACAAACTTGTCATAATTTAAAATTTAACCATATTTCATTTTTTTAAACAATAAAGTGTAAATAAATTAATAAAATCTTTAGACCGTAATTAGCTTTTACCAACGATTTCGTTCGCGTTATCAGAATAATTGGACATCCAGCCTTAAATACTGTACTACAAACCATAAAGAAACTATATTTTACTTAATAATTAATTATTCAATGAAAATACAGTTACATTTTTATTGATTGTTATATATTTCATCTCTATGAACCTCAAAATCCATCGTGAAATAATTTACCGTCAACATTTACGCGTCACACGTTCCCTTTACGTACATAAATTTATGATCTTTTTATGTTTCCAGCTTTACTATGACAAACACAGCTTAGGTTTAGAGAAAGACATCATCTGTACATGATCTATTATTATTTACTACAATAGTATTCTATTTTTTAATACACCAAAGTCATATCTAAGTTGTGTGTTATCTTTGATCATAAATTTACGCTAACAATCAATACTGACCCTAGCGGAGGTCGTAGTCAGTAGAATTACACCAATTACCTGGTCCTTAGATTGCTTGCTCATTCGTAATTCGTATTCATAAGTATCATAAAAAATAATAACTTCAGCAGATGATGTAACTCAAAAATGCTGCAGGGAGCTATTATTTGCAAGTAACACAAGATTCTTTGTGATAAATTTGGGCTGTAATGAATTAGTAATAAGTGCCAAATAATTTTGTACTTGGCCGTGTGATCACTGCATAGAATGGGCCACCCCTTTATTTCCCGTGGGTGTCGAAAAAGGTGATTAAGCGAAATTAATGGTCGAAGAATGGGCAACAGCGTTCTCCTTAAAACATCAGCAAAGCCTAAGTGCGGTTGCCAAACTGCATGCCAAGCGTGGCAACTACTGGCAATATTATGTGTAAACTATATAATGTAGTTAAGTACACCATACTATACGTAACGTAATTGTCCTGTCTCCGATCAAATTGTTCACGATTACTTCCACAACGTTCAATTTGAATAATGTATGTCTTATAAATACTATAATCATTTTGATAGAATAAAAATCTATATCTATCTAACGAAATAATAAAACAGTGAAAAATATATTTGAAACATTCACGTGACATCCTTAGTGACTTAATAGCTTTTTATTATTCGTTAATGACAATTTTATTTATTACTTTAAATCGAATTTCCTCACCATATAATTCCATACAACCAGGTGACAAACTTCTGTATAAGAAAAGAGTTTTCTTCTTCTCACGTCTTCGATCGATAATCGATCGAGCCGGTTAATATCTTTATTTTTCTTTTTTCTTAATAATAATAAAAGGGTGATATGTTCACGATTATGTTTATTCTGTCTTATTACTGACAAATGCCAATTTTAATCTTTTTTATATATGTATATAATTTCAAGTTATAAAGTTTTTCTTTATGTTAATCCTAACAACGTTACTTATGTAAGAAGAGATGAGAGGTATGTACCCTCGTCTCGTCGTTTGCATCGTTTTCCCGGACTTTTAAATCAAATCCTACTAAAAACAATCCTCGGCATAAATTTCAGGCCGGTCTTAATGAAACCTCTAAAATTGCATGCTACAGCACACACGTGTTGTGCAAGTAAACGGTTTACACAAAGAGAAATTTTCACCGCATCGTCTGCGCAGGCCATAAAGGTGCAAACTCTAGGTATGCACCATATTTTTTGTGCTATTTAGAATTGCAAACAAACTGACGAAAAGTAGCATTAGTAACATTATAGTGAATGGTAAACATGAACAATATCATGAACATAAAATATTGTAATCCCATGATACTTTTAATGTTGCTATTCCTGAGAACTACACTAATATACATACCTCAGTACCTTGTAATTTCATTGTTATATTCGTATATCCTTTTCAAACAATAACACGTCCATGCAAGTATAAATCCTTCACAATGAGTGATCAAGCAGGTAAGTTTTGTACAAAGTTTCCTTTGATAAATATGCCTGCTAACAAACAGAAACAAATTTTGATATAATTTCTATAGTATCTATGCAGAATACATTGTAGATACCTATTACTTCCTTCATATTCTTGAACCGATGCTGATTTAGGCCGATGACAATAGCATTAATAGGATCTTGCTTACTGGACCATTCTAGCGACGAGCACATCATATCGAGGTCGACTGTTTGTGCGTCAAATATTTGATTTAACCTAAGGAGCGGCGGGGTCCTCTGGGACGCCCATAATATCGCCTATTTATTGCCTCCATATCTGACGCACCTGTTTAATTTCAGTTCCGGGTCTTTGTCAAGAATTAAGTTAAGAACTTGGTTTGCTCAGACAATAAACAATATATACTCCTAGCTGCTCAATATGTCAAAATAACTTTTCTAAAATTATAAATGAGAAATTGAGTTTTTGTTATGTTATTTGTAAACTATTGGCGTCTTAACTGCACAACTAATCATCATGTAGTAGTACACACAGTAAATAATAATTTATCTTTCACTAGTTTTTACTCGCGACTTTGTTCGCGTTAAGAGGATATATTGACGGAATGTAAAGTAGTCTATGTCTCTCCCATACTAAGTCTACGCAGACTTTGTTATCCAAACAATAAAAGTAAATGTTCTACACTCAAAAACTGCTTAAAAAACAAATCCCCAACCATCAATAATAATTAGATGTAAGCAACGTTCCAATTCTTCCTTAATAAGTTCATTATTACAGTAATATCGTATAAATTAGAGAACGGAATTCATGTCATTATCACGTGGAACAGCAAAAATAATTGCCTTTTGCCTCAAGGGCGACCTCTGTCATCGACAGTCAAACTTCAAGTGTATATAAGAAAATTAGTTCTCGCTTCCTTTTACAAGGCTATTGTGTTTTATAATGTACAATACTATTCTATAGACTTAATTATAAATTCCTATCATAACATCTTAGTAGGATAATCGAGTTAGATTAGTTTAATTATTGTTCACAGTTTCTTTCTTTTTTGTCTTATTTTTTTAGTGTCTGCAATGTTTACATGTATTCAAAAAATCAATATATCAGCTATTAACTGTCCATTGCTGAATATAGGCCTCCCCATAAGGAGGGTTTTGCCAGTAGTTGCCTTGCTTGTCAGGCGAGTTAGCAAACGTAGTTAGGCTTTAGGAATGTTTTAAAAAGTACACTACTACCCATGTCTCGACTATTAAATTCCTTTAATCACCTTTTACAACACCCATGGAAAAAGAAAGAGTGACTCATTCTATGCAGGGACGACATGGCAATATTATACTAGTGTTAAAATATGTTACTTGTGAATTTTGCTCATCTGTTATGCCTCTATAAATGCATATATTTATATCTGGCCTTACAACCTATCATGATATATATAAGTTACATTGATACTGTTAAAATATTTTAAAGCTGTCTTGTACATATAATAAATAAATATATAATAAGCCTCCAAAAACATTACAACGTTTTGGTAATTTGCAATTACTTTTACGCCAACCACAGCCACCTATCATCACAAGAGATGAAAATTATTTCAGACCCCGAGAAAGGTTGGACAGTAAATAGGAGGCTTATTACATCTGAGGTAATAAAAACAGAATAATGACAGTAATAAACATAAAGCTTGGTGCTTACCGAAGATTGCTATCAAAATAATTGTCACCATTTCGATGCGACCTGTAAAATAAAAAAAAAATTATGTTAATAACATTATTTCACAGTTACACTCGAAAATCATTAGTTATATATAAATCTTTAATATATGTATTTACATTGAACAAAGTTAATAATGAACTCAATAAAGCCAGTATATAAAATAAAATAGATAAAAAACTACATTAAAATCGGTGTACATTGTTTTCAGTTTACGATGTTCTCTATATTACTCAATAACAATACTAAATTTGATATTGAATTACGAATTTAACTAAGTGTACAATAATATAGACAATTCTTCACTTCTTTCTGTGGTTATTCGTATTCTTTATATAACATTTATATAGCACACTGATATAAAATTATATACCTTTTTATACATACTCGATATTATAGGTCCAAGAACTGTTATGTAAAATCCCTTGCTCAGCTCAAATCGACACAGCGAACCTACAATTCTACGATACAGTTACTTCAGCAAATGTAATCGTTTCATAGTGCTTGCCTGCCATCATATTATATTAAAACCCTTATTTGTGTTAAATTTTGCTATTATTGATATCTAGTTTTTTCACACATACCGTATGTAATAATCGCTATACCCAGATTTTGCCGAGTATGTTGAAATCCTACGTAGTAAGGGGATGCCTACAGCCAACCAAATTCTAAAACTAGTCAAATATATATTAATAATATATCTATACCATATCATATCACCTATATCAATACCATAAAGTATCTATTAATAATAATAATAATAATATTTTTTAATTAGCTATTATTTTTTGTTCGTCTCTATTAATTCACAATTTCTATTAAACACTCAAAGGTTGACTGGTAGTGATCGCTTTTATGGGATAAGTCCGCCATTGTACTCATTATTTCCTTAACAACTCTGTGTTCTATAATTTAAGTCTTTACTATATAAAAAAAAAGTGTTACAAACAAACAAACAAATAAGTTGAAATAGTATACCATTGAATCACGACGCAGAAAATCTATTAAACTATCTATCAGAGTATCAAACAATAAAGAGTATCTATCTTTCCACGCTTTGATTTTGAAATAATAATAATTATATCTAATACAAATCAAAACGTTCTTAAAACTTGGATAAATGGTTATTGTAGTTCAGAATTATAAAGCAAGCAACGAATATCCCCAGACATTCGTTGCCAAGCACACTTGACATAAATAACCTGGAACAAATTAGTGTGGAAAAATTCCTATCCTAAATAATTATACTGAGAACCACCTTTTTTTTTAAAGATTTAAAAATTAAAAGTTGTACTCGTATTAATACAAAATGATATCCATTATAAATGTAAATATAAATTAAATTGATTATTATTTTACGACTTGTATCGAGACGCCCGTAACAATGTCACTACTAAATTATTATTTAATCTGTGCTACTGTAGAGCTGACATCTACAATGACAAATATACTGAAAACAAGGAACGGCGAGGCCCATCAGAGTCCCGGGGGAAAACAAAGGCTGTCTTGTAAATCGTGTAACAGAAATCTTTAATAAGAGTACGACTTTGCTACACAAAATATCGTTACGAAATTAACAATATGAGATCATCATATTAATAAACTAGCTTTTTACTGTGACTCTGTCCACGGGTATACATAAAGTATTATATGTGCTAAATTAGGATATTAGCTACCCGTTTACCAAATTTCATTAAAATCCGTTCAGTAGTTTTTGCGTGAAAGGCTAACAAACATTCATCTATCAATTACAAAGTTGCGCAATTTATAATATTTGTAGATTTATTTTTCGATTTTGTTTTTACAAATAATGAATAGTATTTGTCTATATAGTAATGACCGCACCTATAATTTAGTAGAAGATTGTTTGCGGATAAACGGTAATAAATTCTATCGATTACAATAATAATTACCGATTTATAATTAGCCAACGTATCGCGTAAAATATACACAGAAAAATACAAATGAAATAATCTATCTTCTTTATTAAGTCGCTTAAAATTAGGAACAATAAAAAACATTACATTGTACTTTGTGTCTCATAAATTAATCTCTTACAGATATTTGGACAATTAGTCGATCATTTATATGAGAGTGACTACTATGAACTGATATTGATGTACTCGTAGGTAGGGTTGGTTAATTATACAAGTTGAAATCAAAATCATAAACTTTAATTTGATGCATTGCATTTAATTAATCAAAGTAAAATATTTCTCCAAAGAACTATATGGGTCAAAAAATTGAAAGCTATTTTGTTTTGCAAAAGTATTCTAACTTTTGTAAAACAGTTATATATAATATCTGTATACATATAAATAAAATTAAATTACAGAACGTATGTTAGCGCAACAATTTAGAATAGCTGCATCTATTTAGGATTTTTTATTGGGTTTGTAATTGTCAGGATAAAGTTTGTATGGAAGAAAATGTTTGAAAAATCGTAGTGAATCTCCTCATAAAAATGAGTGAGCGACTAGACACTAACTGTACCTAAAAAGAAGATTTGGACTCATTTACTTCATTAGTATCCTCGTGCGAAGCCCCCGGCTTGCAATTAATATATAAATGAATAAATAAATAATGTGTTTGTTATAGTAAGAACAAAGTTTGTACGAAAACATTTTCTTTTTAATTGTAAAGAAAAGCCGGAGCAGACATCTAGTACTTACTCCTTAAATATGCTAATGATTTCTACTTCACCATTTGCACACACTTATATATATAAATTTTCACAAATATAATATATCGTGGTAGTTCCACTTCAAGAAATGTTGTAATTGCGTACGTATATACATATGTTGATGTATACAGTACTAACAAGTAAGTTCATAAATAATGAATTATTATCCAATTCCGAACGCGGCCGGGACTAATTGCAGATAAATATTTGGTTCGCCTATTAAATACACCCCGACACAGTTTTCAATTTTAGTACTATCGTTAACTGAGCATTTGGATTCGATTATTCGAAATTTAATTAAAATATTCCAATTTCAAATGGATTTCAATTTTGATGGAATATACTTTCACCAATACGTTTGTACATTATTTATGCTAATAAAGTTTGTTAAATCAAGCAGAAATACTTAATAGTCAACTTTTACACACATCATATATGAAGGATTGATTATTTACTAAATGATAATAATTATTATATTATTTTATGGTATATATTATTATAGTATTATACTGATATTAGGGTTGCCCGATACGAGTATATTCAAATAATAGGAGCTCAGAAGTTAAAATTGATCGATTGAATACTTGATCGTTTGTTGAAATTACCATGTTATTAGACATAGTACATTTAAATATAATTAAATATATACAATAATAATTAAACACGTAACGTTCTATTAACATTATAAATTTATTTAAAAGAGTAACTGTTAAATTTTTTTCGGATTCTTCTCAGTCGATGACAACAATCCGAAACGATCAGTAGAGCATAAAGCAGTAAAATTATAAAAACTAACGATTTAAAAGATTTAAATAAAGACGATTTCAATTTGATTGACACTTAACTAATTCAACCCTAAACCTGAAATGATTTTGGTACTCAAATTGGGACAAACTCAAAGAACAAACAAAACGAGCACATGTCCGATAAAATTCGAGTGAGTGGTGACCCTATGTGTATGTATACATATATGTCATTTTCAATAGATAACAATATAATAATAATACTTTTTTAACAAATACAGGGTTGCACTGTTACATATTTTTTGCCCTAGCTTACAAAGTTACCCCTGTGCCTTGTAAGCCAGTTCCTTCCAACACACAAGAACTAATACTTTATATTTGTACATGCAGAATTAACAATATTAAGCTACAAACATAATAAACAGGATGAAAAAAAGAGGAAAATATATAATAATTTATAAAGTTAATACTTAAGGATATTGGAAGGTCAGGTGGTCCATCACGACCATTTTTCAAATATTAACAGCGATAATTTCTAAGGGGACAGTCTATAACCCTATATATAATTATCTATACACACACATGTGTAAACCTACATATTTATAAAAAGGCCACTTATTATTATATAGAGATTTCTAAAATATAATTAGAGATGGTATAATAGCCGGATTCCAATATGGATCAGAAGCAGCTTATTAATAAATGGATCTGTAGTGACTTAATATTATTTTTATTTCCATTAGTAATAGAGGATCGGCGCTTTTCCCTTAGTTCTTGATTTCCATTAGTACGAGACTCTAACGAATTTATTGAGAGATCCACATGAACGATTTCTAAGGTACGGCTAATTAAAGGTGAAAGCTATACTATAATATTATGTATTATATATGTGGGATTGGTATAAAACGGAACGTATGTTAAAAATGAATGTTGTATGCATAGATTGGAATACGAAGATTGAAAAAGACTTATGTGGAGTGAAGAAAGGAACGGTTGGAGAGAAAGATTAAGATGGACGACAAATGATCAAGTGTGTGTGTGCTCCTACGAATTATTTCTAAGAATTAGTTTTGAAGTTATATAAAGGTTAAATCGCTTGGGTATAGAAGGAATTTTATTTCTAGCTCCTTGGACCTACATACATCTATATAAATAAAATAAACTCGGGTAAGTTACATTATAAATAGTGTATATATTCCAGCACGACTAGACAGATTTTGATGATTTATGATTTGTTGGGTTCTTCTCCAATCTGAATAGCAAAATAACTATTAAATTATCGAAAAATTTCACATAAAAAAAAATTTTTTTAGACTGTTAGGCAGTCCGCCGTGTCAGCTAGTATTTAATAAATTCTTAACAATTTTATTGTTAAAAATTACGTACTCTGTTTACGAGTACACTTACTGAGTACAGAACAAATAGATTTTATAAATGTATATTATGTAATACATCATTATTAATACATCACACGCCACAACACAAAACAATGACCGCATTCACGTAAGAAAGAATACTTTGCATAGTATACAACTATTATATGAGGAACGTAAGTAAATAAAATGGTTTTGTTTTATACCAGAGGGAGACTTTGTACA